TTTTTTTTTCACGTTTTTCACGTCTACTTTTATTATTATGTTATAATATCATTATCTGAAATGTAATTTTGCTATTTTGCCGTATCAAAAACAATCAAATCAATTAAATTAATTAATCAGCTAGTCATAAAATCATAACAAAGTTGTTGCTATTTTCGATATTCAAATTTAATTGTTTAAAATCTAAATTAATAAATCATTAAAGTATATATTTCACATTGTAATCATATTTACATCATAATCATAAAATCTCAAATTTTGTAATATACTTTTAAGTACATTAAAATTAAAAGATCAGGAATTTTAAACGAATAATTTAGTAAAGATCGAAAAAATTCATATTATTATCAAATATCAAATAAGACCTTTGACATTTCTGATTTAATTACTTTCACAATTTTTAATTATTATCTAACCAATGCACCACCTTTTGTAGGCTACAGTTGAGGAAAATGAATATGAACAAGAAGATGAACAAGGAGGTTACGAAGAATCGAGTACCCGAGAATTTGTCGAAACTCATAATAAGTAAATTTTATACGACAAAATTTCGTACTAGTGAAAGTGGAAATTAATATTAAATTTAATTTTATAACCAAATAAAAATCAATTAGTTTTCATTTTACTAATTATTTCATTTTTCATTTTGATATGATTTCTTTTTTTTTCACGTTTTTCGCGTCTACTTTTATTATTATGTTATTTTAATATTTTTCATTTTGATGCAAATTGAGTACAATACGTAGCTCTTTTATCTACACAAAATGTAATTAATAAAATTAATAATAATAAAAAGATTAATTTTTCATCTAAGTGCTAATTATTTCAGAGTTGTAAAGTGTGATACTCACGAAGTGTGCTATGATTACCGTGAACCTCAAACGTGGTGTAAATTGGAAGAGCACCAGCAATGGACGTTAGTTTATTTCAATGCTTAATTACTGTAATAATATAGATTATAATTATGATAAATAATAGTAATTATTACTGATACCACTATAATAAATAATGCTACTGCTATAAAGTTTTCTTAGAATTAACTCGAAATCATCATAATCCAATTCAATTCCTTTAATTTTTTTGTCAATAATTTACTAAACATCACGTGTTCAACTTCACTTGATGTTTAGTAAATTTAATAAATTATTGACATACTACGTTATCGTTATTTTGGCAATATATAAATCGAAAAAATTAATTGTATCATTTCGAGTATTAATAAGGATGATTTTGAATAAATCAAACTTATTTCCAGCCTTTTTATAAAAAAGTTAAAAATAAATTTAAATTACAGGGATAAAGGATGCTTCTGTGATGAAAAATTAAAATCATGCATAATTGAGCGGAAAAGTGGCAACAAATTGCAATATGCTAATTGCGCACCCTCTCACAATTGGGATTGTGCTGATGATGATGATAATGACGATTGATAGATAAACATTAAAACCATTATTTTTACTATAATTTTTACAATGCTAAAACTAATTATTATTAACAATAAGTGCTGTTGTGCAGTGATCGTTTTTGATAACTTAATAGATTTGAATTGTTCATAAAATATCAACTATAAATTGTATTTATTGTCAATTAATAATTATAATCATATAATGATTGAAATTCAGTTCAAAAATGTTTTTGTAAGAATATAATTCTTTTCCATAATTTGAATTTAATTCAATTCATATTTTTGAAATTTTGAAAAAAATTTTCAGAAGCCTGTTTTACTCATATTTTTTTATCAACAGTAACAATCATTGATTAATTTAATCAGAATTGTAGAAGAAAAAAGGAACTTTTATTCATTTTCGTGTATTTTTCTTGTGATTTTCAGATATAGAAGTGAATAGTAGCTTTTTTCATAAATACTCTTTCCATCTGCCTATTAGAAAACAATTTAACCTTCAGCAAATGTATTCTTTAGAAGAAGTGTTCCTTTTACGGCTTATTAAACTGTCGACGGAATTTGAGTTATGAACAAATTTTGCGTAAATAATTAATAAAGTAATTTAGATCTAAAACCAATTCAAATATATTTAGATGTAATACTAATTGCAAATTTTATGGGACTAGTTCCAATCAAGCACTATTTTCACACATAGTTTAAGCTTAATGCGACGTTAGTCTAGGCTTAGTGCGAGGTCAGTCTAAGCCTAATGCGAACATAGTTTAAGTTTAAAGCGAAGTTAATTTTTACATATTATGAATGTATTATGAAAGTGTAATATATTATTATATTTATGATAAAAAAGTTTCTATTTTGCAGAAAAATTGAAGACAAAATAAGCAAATTTATTATTTGCTGAAGGTATTTTCAAGTAAAGTGTTGTAGACCTTAATAATTTTTCACACTTGACATGCAATTTACGCTTTCTATCAGACTTCAATAAAAACTGCAATTACATGGGAGATAATAATCACCTTCAAGATAATGATCAACATTTGACAGACACCATTACACATACCCTGATAGTCATTATTTCAAGAATTAGTTGGAAAGGAAAACGATTCTGCTCAGTTAAACGCGCAATCTTAACACTAACTTGTCTTCTAACAATAGAACACAAACCACAAAATCCCTTGATTCTTATCAACTAAATCTCCTGAAACTCGTATCTCAAAGACAGGTACTGAATCAATTAATCAGTCAAACAATCAGTCAATCCATTAGTTACCACAGTGCATCCTTATTATCAGTAACATAAAATTTGACCTTTTTCTTGTTTTTTCTGCATTAAAGATTTTATCTACAGATGTATTTAAGAATGAATGTGATATAAAAGGAATAACGTGAAGTCACTAATAAGGGTCAAAGGCCAGAAAAAATGGAATTCACAACACATTACTTATTCCAATTACAAGTTTCAAATATTGTGCATCTTATGGTACAAATATGAATTAAAAATCCGTCTGAATTTTTTGTTTGTTATTTTTTACAGTAATGTAATAAACTAAATCTTCTTTAAGAAGCATATGTCTTTTCAATCCTATCAATATCTGATAAAAATCTTAATACGGGTTACAGCAATTTACAAATAGAATTTACAAATATCTTCACTATGCTCTTAACAATTACAAATTTTCAAAACAAAAATGCAACTTAGCTTTGCACTGATTTGGTGCAAAATTTGGAATACCAAAAATAATAACCTAAAAAACATGGTTCTTTTTTTGAGCCACAATTTCAGAAGTTTAAGGAATTATATCTTGTAATTAATAAGAAAAATGACTTCTACGTTTGCTTTAACATATTTTTTAACTTGACGCACATTCTCCTAACTTAAGTTCAAGCTCATGAAGCTACTAAGAGTTAATGAAGGAATTCTTTCCATACGAACTATCAAAAGCTAAAATTTCTTACGGAAATTCAGTCATTTTTCCGTGAAGAATTTCATATTGAATTTAAGTTAGGAGAATGTGCGTAAAGTTAAAAAATATATTAAAGCAAACGTAGAAGTTATTTTTCTTATTAATTACAAGATATAATTTATAATTTCACGAAAATTCAATAAGTAAAAAAAAGCATTATATGATTTCACAAATGCAATCATTTGCATACGTTCAACACGTCTTTAGCAAAATCATGGAAGTCTCACTCCTGATAGATTAATTTCAGCAAATAAGCTTCCTCTTGAAGATTGTTATCTACATTCGTAACAAATATAAGCACCTGAAATTGAATAGTTACTCTTCTGAATCCTCGAAAACTTCCACTGATTTTTTTTTTAAAAGACTTTTCATTTCTAATATGGATGTTTCGGTATTGCAGCTATTTTGATGAATCAACAATGGACAAGATTCAGCAAAGTCTTATACCATACTGAATCCATATTAGAAATGGTTGAAAAAATACAATCAGACTTGAAGAAAATACTAAAAAAGCATACCTCAGATAATCTCACTTCTTGACTAAATAGAAATGTGATCAGTACATCACTTAATTTGTAACCAGCTAATTTTATAATGTCATTATCAATTTTAACATAAGCCGGATGGGAAGAAGAAATTCGAAACGATCGTTCAACACTGTATCGATTTCCTATTGTCAATTTCTGAAAAAAACTTACCAGAATCCACTTCGTTTAAAAAAATTAAAAAATACGGATAACATGAATAATTGTTTTAAAAATGTTCCCATAATTCAATTTTGAAAAGGTAAAAAAATACTTTGACCACATACAATTGTCTGATTCCTATTATTCTGTACATAAACTTCAAAAACTTTTGTAATATCGGCTTCTTGCACGTTTATTACAATCATCCACGTATTTAACAGATTCTTTGTTTGTTGCTCAATTGCATTAATTAATACCACAGATACACCTTTAATTCAGAAATGTACAAATAAAAGTTTCCTTCTGGTGGAATTATTTTTTCAAACAATGCAAGCACTGTAGTTATAAATTTTTTATTAGCAGTATTATGATTTTGCTTTTTCGATGAATATTCAGAATTCTTTATTTGCTTTAGGGTCAAAATAGCAGTTTTCTAATTGTGAGTGATAGCAGCAAAAATCATAAAAAGGAGTGTTACAATTGACAAAGGTCATTATTCTATTGCACTTATTCAAACTCATGATTTAAAAGAGATATTTAAGCAACCACTGAATGATAATCAGTAGTAAAAATCAACCTAAACTTCTATTCCTACTACTGTATTAACTAATAAAGTTAACAGAATCAAACCTGCACAACTTGGTGTGAGATGAACGACAACATCAAGAATCTTATCGTGTTCTACTTGCATGATATCAGCCGGAAAAATCTCAACATTTTTTAATGAAGTTTGAAAATGAATAGCACCACTATAACTGCGATCAGTTCTGAAACAGTTATCTTAGAAATTATTTTTTGACAAAGTAACCGTAATGAGAATGACTTAAAATTAATCGAATGATTAAACGTGAGAAACAAATCATGAATTAATCTAGTCATTGGTAAAGCATTCAACAAATTTTCACTAGTTAAGATAGTTTGACATTATTTTAAGATGAAAATACTTGTACTTACTTCAGTACGATAGGCACTTTTACAAGTTGTGCTCGCACAGCATTTAGATTAATCCGATTTACAGCGTGAATATGTATTAACCATGCTCCAAGCACAGTAGCATAAAATTGGTCACCAAAAAATATCAAAGCAAATGTTTGTAACGTTGGTGCTTTACCAAGCTGGTACTAGAAGCGAGTAAAATTAAACTTTTGCTAAGGAAAAATATTACAATTTAAAATTTCAAAAAAGCAAAAAACCTGACAGTACACATTACAAACACGATTTAAAAGTCTGCAGTAGAAAATAATTATGCAAAAAGCAATCCGATTAATTTGTCTTCACAAGAAATTTAAAGATAGACCGTAAAAAGTAAATCTTGTGAACCGTCTGAATTGATTTTTAATGAAGTTAGTACGTGGGGATCTGTACAGCGTACATCATGAACCCGACCTAAAACCATGTAATAAATTAGAATTATGAATATATCAAATTAAGAAAATTTGTTCTTGAAATCTGATTGTATTCACTGTAGGGACTTATTTTATTCCATTCCTGCAGAAATAAAATGAAATTTTTTAAAATTCACTCTTAAATCCAGTGATATGAATGAGCCTAGAAAATGTTGTTTCTGCTTCGTGGTAAAATCGAAATGAATTGTAAATGATATTGTAGCGATTATCAATTAGCAAATCCAAAATTGATATTGGTTCACCATTAATTTTCTTTTTAAATACGACCTGAAAATATGGACCTTTATTTGATCTAAATCATGATATATATCAAACAATAGCCAATAATTGACATGAATTATTGTTGCATAATAAAAAATATAACAAATATACTTTACTGCTTTTTCAGTGAAAAAATCTTTTGTAAATAATACTATTTTCAAGATAAAGCATTTTGACCTACTTTAACTTGATTTTGAATCTGATCTTGAAATAATGAGAATGCATCGTAGATAAATGGCGCATATACAGTTTCAAATGGTCTTAAAAAAATCTCTACAGAAGTATGCATTTCATTTTGTTCCGATAGTCGATAGAGGTTTCTTTCAAGTGGAGTGTCAATTTGATATAAATTTTTGTAGCACTGCCATAATTCTACATTGAGAAGAGGTCTAAAATTTTAAAATTGATTTTCAAATTTTTATAGACTACTATACTCTAACTAACAAGTTAATAAATTGAAAACTTGTCGTAAATTCATTAAAAATCGCAAATATATTTATCTGATATTGAATTATTAATTGTTACTCAATTTTAAATTCATTCTACATTCTCTTATGCAGCGTGTCTGATACTTACAATTAATTTATTCAATATCAGATAAAAGTTAATTAATCCATAGGTACGATAAGGTAATGAAAATAAAATATTTTTTAAGAGTCAAGCGATTTGAGCAAAATTTTGGATCAAGTTATTGAAAACTTTCTTTAAAATACTTTGAGCTATATCAACAATAACGATGGTTGGTTCCGATTCTGTATTTTGAAGCATATATTCGAAAAATATAACTTGACCATATTTTGGATAAATCCTATAACAAATACATATTTATTATATTTTAGAATTAGAAAAATAACACTTACTTTAATTCATTTTTTATTCTAATTAATTTTTCCATCTGGCGGGAAAAATTAACAAATAAACATTTAGTTTAATTCATTTTTATAGACAATTATACTTTTACTAACAAGGGATATAAATGCAAAAAAATTAAATATTTGTAAGAAAAGCAAGTCAAACCGGTGTTCTGTGGTAATTGCTTTGAAAACAACTTTTAATAATTTTGAAGCTTTATCTTCATTGCGCAATTTCTTGTAAGCTTCCAATTCTTGTTGAAACAGATAACTGGTAACAGATTTCTAGAATTTTTAATCCTTTTAAATATAAATAATCCAATTAAAAATAAGCTACAGAAGTCCAAAAGCATTAATGTCTTCAACTGGGAAAGAAACTCATGTTGTGCATACTGTTTTAGAAGTGAATAATTAGAAAATTTTAAAACTTAAATTTTAGATCAAAAAATTAGTATTTGTATTTTGTTTGAAGATAAATATCCTTCCAGTAACAATAATCTATTTCAATCAATCAATAAAATATCAATTACAAAAAGAATTTTCTGCTAATAACAACATTTTAATATACCTTTGTTGTAACTGGTTGCACTACCCAATTTTTATCCTTCTCCTTTGTCACTCCGTGCATATATTCACAGTAACGCTGATTTATATCCAATCTTCAAACTTGCAAATTTTAAATTTATTAAAAAACTTTTCTCAAATAAAATTTTATTTTTAATTATCATAGTCTGTCATATGTTTACGAGATTGAAAGATATGCTCTGTCACATGTTACGTGAATGAAAGATATGCATCTGAAACTTTATTAAGTGAAGAAGTTATTCGTTTAAGTGAATATTAAAGTTAGAAATCACTTAAAAAAGTATAGCTTGAAGCTTAGAACTTTTTCTCGAAAAATTTATTTTTGCTATGGCAGTGAATAAAAATTGTGATTATATTTTGATTTAGAAAGTAACGATATCTTAAATCTTGAAACTATCATCATGAAGTAGATGAATACTTTTGAGCAGTTAAGAATCTCTGCATTGAATTTGTATGTATTGGATTCAACGGCTTAGCTCTGACTTCAAAAGACTCAATTTCTTCTTCACCTAATCGAGGTAGCTTCCGAGTGATTACAGCCCTTGATCGGTTCCGTGCATTATCTGAAACTGACGTAAAAAAATGGATCTGCTACAGTTTAAGAGTGATTTGGTTTTTCAGTAATAATATCTTTGACGTAATTCAATTTGAGTATTGAATAAAACTTTTGATTCATTAGATCTGTATTTATGAGTTATAATAAATCTCAAAATAATTCAGTCTGGGTAATACTAAGTTTGATACAATGTAATCTGATTTCTGATCAATAATTGACTTAGAATAATTCAATCTGCAAGTAATTTAATATTAATTAATTTCATTCCAGAACAAAAGTGAGAGATCAATAAATACAGTTTATTTCGTTATTCAAATGACATCATGTAACTGTCTATGTTTTAAGTGCACGATTTTCATAACCGTCTGGTTTTGTAATCAGTTTTATTATGCAAAAGCACAAAGTGCTAAGTAATCAATAGTTAAGTTAATACTTATTGAGGAAAAGAATAAAAGAAAAACATGCATTAGTAAGAACGAGAAAGATGCAGAGAACAGACAACTGTGACAAACGCGTGATGCACTTTCTGTGGTTATTTGCATACTTGTTGAGGCTTAAGGGCAGTCGGTTCTCTATTTCATTGCGTAATCTTGACTTTTTTAAGAATATTATCACGCGTGTTACTACTTGCAGCCTCTTTTTCATCATTATTAAGATTTGATTTTTATTTCAGATCACTGAAACTTGGGTAATGTAAGATGAGGATGCAATGAATCTTGGATATCGCAAATACAGCGACGAGAACAAGCTAGAAAAGGGTCACTCATTGATGATTTCGTGAATGTAATGAGTGACCACAAGGTGCTTTTCATCATGATGGCTTGGAGAAGATTTTTACCTCCGCACAATCAACATGAATTAATTGCTCCAAGCTAGCACCCTGTACCTGCATGACTTTAATGGAATTAGGTAGCAAATTTTTGCTACCGGAAAGCAACACCGCATTCAGGATTACTTAAATGATTAATTTCAAAAGAGAATCCTGTGCGGTGAACAGAAGAAGATCATGAATTGGAATTGTGAAGGACGATGAGTAACACTCCCGAGCTCCTTCTTCAGTTATTGGCCATTTAAGATTTTTTAAAAATTGAGGAAGGAAGCAGTGATTGAGAAGAGAGGGCGGAATATTACTTCTTGCGACAAACACTATGCTTCAATCTCATTTAACGAATTTTAACGCGTTCAGTTTTCAATGCACAGTGGATTTATTGATGATAGAGGCAAATCAACAATTTTAATACTGATATTGATGGAAGCTTTCGATCAGAAAAGATTGCAAGTCATCAGCAACTGCAACATCAGCTACCAAGAAGTTATGTGCTGAACACCCAATGGACGATAGAACTACTAATCCACTAGGTATATTTCCATACCTAGGTATTTCTACATATCTTTGAATTGTATTTAATTTTTTAAAACTTTTGATTAATTATTAATTTTTATTAATGTGCGTAATATTAAGAAAATATGCGTGATATTTTCGTAGTTTGTAGCCCAGCAATCTATTCAAACGTACAGTGTAAATATTGTTAGATTTTTGTTCATAAAATTTTGTATATACTTTTTATTATAACTTTAATTTCTCTGTATATAGTCAGTCTATTTGTGGTACCTTAAAATCGAAAGATTTTCTGGTGCATAATTCTTGATAATTTACTGTAAAGAGAGATGATTGTTTTTTTAATTAAATTTTGTTTGCACTAAAATTTTTGTAAAAGTTGTTTATCTGTTGTGTGAGATTGCACACTTCCTTCATACTTGAAAGTGTAGCTCTCCCCCGAATATTTTTCAACTTTGTTTGTATATTGATTGATTTGTATTATTATTATTATTATTACTACTATTATTATGTTATTTATCACTGGTATTTGTGTTAATTGATTGCTATCATTATTATTATCATTATTACTATTATTATGTTATTCATTACAAAAATTTGTTAATTTCTGTAATGTCCCAACTTCAGTGAATATTGTTTGTTTAAATGCTTATTTAAATTAAATGTTCACTATATCACGAGTCTTGCAAAGCACATCAACTCAACATGTCTTACAAGCATAGCAACATCCTCTCCTCTTATGTGGTTCACTACGGATCAATAACTATCGATCCCAGAGACATTAGCACAAGCAGTCCTTAAAGACTCAAATTTTTGATGAACGAGAAATAGATCGGCGTAATTTCTGAGTAAAGAATCTAGAATAGCTCATCTAGAATAGAGTCAGCAAGAAGATCAGAAGGAATGAAAATATCTGATTTTCTGTGAAAAGAAGAGAAAGTTCGTTGAAGCAGAGAGGGACTCAGTTTTTTTAGAAGTCGCAGTTTTTCATTATTTAAGACAAGTATTTTGAAAAAACTGTGTCTGATCAATAAATGGTACCGTGTATGTCTAATTAAGTAAGCAGTCAAGAACACAAGTCTGCTGCATTCCCTAAGTGAATCTCTTTTGCACATTTCACATTCACTGCAGAAAGTTTGATCCTGAACATAATCAAGGAATTTTGAGAAAATACTTTAAATTTCAGTGATTCTTCTAACTTCAAAATTTTGCTTTAGAGAAATTTTCTTACCGAATTTTTTTGTGGATGCATGACCAATATTGGCTAATCGAAGTAATAATTGACACGTTAGGTAAGGTGTACCTGGAAAAATACCAAGAATCACATTGGTTTGAATGTCAACCTGTACTGCTTCATATCCGTGACGTAGTAAGAACTGCAAAAAACGTAACCTTTTATAACAAGTATGAAAAAAAATTTTGTGCGTGAATTACTAATTACAATTTTGGTACAATCAACCAATTCGTTTACACCTCTGTGTTACACAGCTGGAAAGGTTATAACCTTTTAAAATTATTATTTTTCCTTTTAATTATGCTAATTAATTATTTAATTAATTATCAATTATTTGTTTACCATAATAAATTTTTGCAAATATCTAAAATTATCCCTATTTTAGCAAATTATTCTATTCGTATTCAACAATATGTATTGAAAAATATCAACTTTTTTTGCAGTTTTTAAAAATAATTAATTTCCGCATAAATAATAATTATTTAAATTCACGTATTAACTAACTTTTAACGGGAGATACGATTTGCCAATAGGTAGCAACGAGTTAGCATCCCACGCATCGATGATAGCATGGCCGTTCAACAAGTAATTAATGTAATCATCTTGCTCTCCGTCAGGTAGCACGTTACGATCAACCATATATTTTATCTGAATACTTTTTTTGTCTTTCTTAAAATGAAACTTAATTTTCTAATGAAAAAATACAAAGTAAACTAAATTTACAGTAAAACCGTAAGGATTCTCTTTAGGAATATCCTCATCAATCCCTTTACGTTTCAATACATATAATGGTATATATTGATTGTTTCTTGACCGCAAATGATCCAACAATAACCTGTAAATTATTGATCAGTAAAAATTTAAAGTTGTGATTATTTCAATATTTTGAAATTTATGTTTAAAAAATGATAAGTTATAAATTATGAATATTTAGTTTTCGGTACTTTAAAATAATTTTTTTTTACTTCAAAAAGATTAAAAAACCTTTCTGTTGTTACACTGTGAAATCGGTAATATTGCACTGTAAAGAATATCGCTTTTGGTGTATTAAAATTTTGCTCATATTCGGTACTGAAAAATTTTATTTCAAAAAAATAGTTGAAAATTAATTTTTTCAAAAAAATAGAATTGGAATTAATAACTAAACAAACCTAAATTCAATTCCCATAAATTGAATAATCGTCTCGTTTTCATTCAGTCTATCATTAAGTTCAATGTTAATGTTTGCATCCTTCAATGTAAATTTTAAATTTATTCATAAATTGTCGTAATTAAAATTAGTTTTTACAGTTATAAAATTGGAAATGAAAAAAATGCACAAATATGAGAGACAAAAACGTTTAAATATTTACAGGGAGATCGTTGATATCAATAATTTTAGGTTTTTTGCCGTTGCGATCTTTAAAAGTAGCAAAGGTAATCTCAGATAACGCAGAAAGATATCCACGACATATATTGGAAGTTCTGAAAAAATCAATAAATTATTAATTTTAATACTGTCAAAAGTTATCTAGTGAAGACTACTTTTGTTGCATAAATTAGCAAATTTATAACAAAGATTAACATTTAAATAAAGCAAAAATTTGAACCTTTCCATTGGCAAATTTGTTATCTCTAAACTAGCGAAATTGGCGCCTTCTTTCTTATTACTTGAAATGATTTTATCACAATGATTATCATCTTCCTAAAATTACGATAACATATTCAATTTATCAAATATTATCAAAATATCAAAAAATATGAATATAATTTTTAAGAAAAAAAAGCATACCGAATATTTGAATGATAAAGGCTTCATTGCATTCCTAAAATTTCATTGAATTCGCAATTAATTCAAACATTATGTCAAAATAATTCAAAAGTAATTCTATCTATACAATTTGAATGGAACAACTTTTAATTTCTTCAAGCTACTAAAAGATTCAAATACTAAAAC